TAGCAGGTTAGTTATAGTGCCTTCACTATATTACCACACATCATTCTTCTGGGTATAAAGATTCTCTATTCAAATCAATTTGAATCAATGTGTCTTCTTGAGCGAGTTTCAGCAAACAAAGAAATACTGCTCAAGGGAATGATAARCGATAAGAAACAGAAAAGTGTCACACCCAAGCTGAAAAGCTGTATGATAAAAAAGATATACTGTTTTGGCCTGGCAAGCATTGAGGCTTTGCTTAGGAGTCAATAATAGGGTTCACTTTGATATTTTCTATCATCCTTATACAGCCAGCTTACAGATGGTATATAGAATTCAAAATTCCAATACTTACAAGCACAGAATCTCCATTTKTCAAAGAACTGCAAGCACGGAGGAGGCTAGCATGGAATATTAACATGTATGCATTATATAGTTATATATYATAAAATTTCAAATTAGCTTAAGTCACTGTATACAAACCTGACAATGTTTGTTTAACGATGTTAAACATTCATTGCATAGCTGCTTAAAAGTATAGCTACTATAATCAGGGTCATATTCTTGGTTTGCAATCAATCCCAAGAGAGCACAATAACAAAAGGGATGTCTGCCATGTTGGAAGATATAACAAAAGAATTCATTGAAAAATCTTTTGTCAAATTCTTCCAACATGGCGGCTATGACGTCTATTGCAAACGAAGAAGAATTATAGACATTTAAACTATAACAATCTTTCATACTGGAAGCTAGCACTTTGTAAGAGTTTCATATCGAGTATTAGCCTAAAGTCAACTGTTTTTGAGTATTTATCAACATAAAGTCTTCTCTTAAATCAAATTCCTGAAAACTCACTTAATTTTTACCTGAAAATCTTGTCCATCTAAACTATTTTCGCTTAAATCGACCGTCGTCACCCCACTAGACATCTTGTTTTTTTCTCTATCAGTTGCATTAATCATCAGGCATTCCTTGCCTTACCGTTAGAGACTAGATACGATACTAACCACAGGTAGCCCAGCTTCCCAAATTCTTGCTAGCTTAAGGAGGCTCTGGGTAGTTTTGGTCTGGCACACCTAGCCACATTGAAACGGCTACAACTTCGTCTTGTTCCAGGGTAATAAGTGAAAATTTTGCCTTGTTTTCTGTAAAATGTCCTCCGAAAGCCACTCTTCAGACTCAAGCGAATATTCAGACGACTCGGAGTGGAATTATATCCCAGGAGTTTATAACATAGAATCGAAAAATCAGACGGCGGCTGCGGACATTTGCTTTGATGAAGAAGAATTTAGTGGCCCATATGCAGACGAGCCTCTAGCAGAACAAGACTGGCTTCTTGAAT